ATTAAATTTTATCTTGCATTAAATATTAAACTATCATTGGTATTATTTGCTATTACATATTATCTTGTTAATTATTCCAGTACATTGGATATGTTTTTAATTTTTTGTTTTTTTAGGGTTTTGGTGGTAAATTTGGTGTACAGACGGACAGAATGGACAAATCAGCAGTATCATTTAAGGAACAGACAGAGGCGGTTGGAACTAATTATACTAGGGCTAAACCAGATATAGGTTTGTATTTTTTAGATATATTTTAGTTCTGAATTTCAAGAACAATTTGCACTAGCTCTATCCCTTGAGAATAATAACTTAATATTAAAAATTAACTGCGATTTTTTTTTATTTTGTTAAAGAAAGTAGTTCAAATTTAAATATAAGTAAGATACTCTAATTATACTCGTTATTTCCTTTCAAATGATACCCCACATGCCATTTTTTGGAATTTGAAGTGACAACATTTTTATTTACTTGTCTTGTAAAATTTGTTTCTTGACATTTATGTTATCGTTAGTAGAGTCCTTTCGATTCTATTGCTCGTCAGTAGAATTTTTTTTAAATCAAGAAATGAGATTAAAAAACTCTGCTGAAGAACAAAATTTACATTGATCTAGAAGATTAAATAATAGAACTCTACTGACGAGCAAACATAATTTAGATCTAAAAAGTAAAAAGAGACTCTACTGACGAGCAAACTTATTTTAGGTCCAAAAAAAACAAAAAAAAGACTCTTCTGACTAAAATAAAGCAAAAAAGGGACTCTACTGACGATCCAAAAAACTTAATTTAGATCTAACTAACAAGACAACGAAAATTCTACTGACGAACAAAATATAACAAGAAATAATAAAACAAAAAAGGGACTATACTGACGAGCAAATCTAATTCAGATCTTAAAAAAGCAAGAAAAATGAAACTTTTGATGAGCAAACTTAATTTAAATCTGAAAAAAGTGAAAAAGAGAACTCTGCTAACGAACAAATTATTCAATTTTTGATCCAGAATATTAAAAAAAGGACTCTACTGACGAGCAAACTAAATATTGTCATTTAACTTTTAGGTTATATACAAACGTTTCAGCATATTTTGTTAAGCGAATTAAATGAAAATTAAAACCATTATTATTATCCTTTATATACTTGTCAAGACCTTTTATTTGATACCCCACAAGCAAATTGATGTACAAACATTATAGACCTTCGTGCTGCAACCCATTGGTCGACTTTTCATTAAAACTCTTGTAACTTTTGAACCTATTGTGCAAAATGAATGCAATATTCGGCAAATTTGCGCTAAATTAAATTGCCAATAATAATATCTAGTATAGAACTTTAAACTTTTGCATTTTGACGTCAGAACATCCTTAGTAGACATACGTTTTAGCATGTTGTGTTAAACAAATTTTATCAAATCCAAATTTTTTTTTACAATTTTTGTAATGTACTCGTCAAGACCTTTCATTTGATACCCCACATCAATATACTCCCGTTTATACTACACCTGTGCCCTTTACACACCCCAGGTTCCGCGAAGCCCTCGTCGATAAAAGCCCGTTTCGAAAACATGGCCAAAGAGAGCGAAGAGCAAGTACGTCAAAGGGCCCGATGGGAACGCGAGAGACGCCGAATGGACGAATTAAGGGAACGAGAATTAGCCAAAAAACAACAGCAACAAAAAATCGAACAAATCCCACAAATCGAACAAATCGAACAAGAACAAAACAATCATGTGGTTCCGAAAAAATCACCACTGGTCGTCAAAATAGTATCAGTAGTGCTATCGACGCTTCAACAAACCCCAAGATGAAGAGTTTAAGGGAAAGTGAAATCGCCGGTTGGAGTCTGCCTATACAATTGCCGAAGGAGAACGGCGATAGTGTCAATAAGTCGATACCGCCTGATGTGGTGCCTAATGAGAGCAAGTTGAAGTTCCAAGAGGTAAGTAATAGGTTATTATATATATATAATATATAATTATATAGATATATATAATATATATATATATATTATTTTATGCATATCATTTTTACTTGTATATATATAATATTTATCCATATCCAACCACAATCTAATTCGCCCCATTTTTGATGTCCCGATTCATCAACTTGAACGACTTTTATGAGAAAAATACTAAAATTTACGACATGAAACGTTTGCACAATCAAATGGAAATTTATCTAAACACGAATTATAATTATTACAAAATTACATTATAACTTTGAGCACTTCCTCAGTTCCTCGATATATCTGGAACAGTCCTACGATTTTTTTTTATTTATATATTATTTAATAGACAATCAGAAGACAATGTTTCTATTAGCCTATGTGATAAGTTAAGTAATAAGTATGAAAAATTAAAAATCCTTATTTTGAAAATATAATTCAAAAATATATGTATGTATGTAAGCTGATTGAGTGATAGAGTTCATTAGCATCGTAAAAATTATAGGCCTAGGAAAGTTTTATACATAACTTTACTATTTTTTAAATTAATTTTTTAAATATTGATAAGTATTTAAATCGCTTCTCAGTAGACGCTTTTGAATTTGCTCGTCAGTAAAGTCGCTGTCTCTTGTTTTTTTTGTTAAATCAAAATTAAGTTCTTCGTCAGTAGAGTCCTTTTTAAATCTCTAGATCAAGTTTAAGGCTGATTGTCAGTAGAGTCCCTTTTTGAAACTTCTGGATTAAATTAAGTTTGCTAGTCAGTAGAGTCGCTTTTCTATTTTCTTATCAAAATTTAGTATACTTATCAGTAGAGACCATTTTTGTTCATTTAATTTGCACGAGTCTCATTGTCTTGTTTTTAGATCAAAATTAAGTTCTTCGTCAGTAGAGTTCTTTTTTATCTTCTTGATCATAATAAAGTTTGCTCGTCAATAGAGTCCTTTTTTAGTCTTCTAGATTAAATTAAAATTCGCTCGTTAGTAGAGTCAATTTTATTGTTAATTTAATTTCTGATCAGTAGAGTCCCTTTTTCATTGTTTAGATCAAATTTAAGTTTGCTCATCGGTAAAGTCCCTTTTTTCAAATTTCCGAATCAAATTTAAGTTTGCTCGTCAGTAGAATCCTTCTGTATATTTTGTTCGTAAATAGAGTCTCTTTTTATCTTTTGGTTCAAAATCCAAGTTTGCTCGTCAGTAGAGTCCCTTTTTTCAAATTTCCAGATTAAATTTAAGTTTGCTCGTCGGTAGAATCCCTTTTTCAAATTTCTGGATCAATGTAAAGTTGCTCGTCAAATTTGTAGATCAAATTTTGGAGTTTGCTCGTCAGTAGAATTCCTTTAATTGTTTTGTAAATCTAAATTAAGTTTAGATTATATATTCGTTTTATGTATATTTTGCTCATCAGTAAAGTCCCTTTTCTATCTTCTGAATCAAAATTGAGTTGCTTGTCAGTAGAGTTCCTTTTTTAATCTTCTGGGGCAAAATTTGAGTTTGCTTGGTTGCTCAGTAAAGTCCCTTTTTAAATTTCTAGATTGGCATTAATTTTCACCCGTCAGTAGGGTCCCTTTTTGGTCTACTAGATTAAAATTTAATTTGTGCTCGTCAGTAGATTCCTTTTATCTAATTTTTTTCAGATCAAAATTTTAGTTTGCTCGTCAGTAGAGTCCCTTTTTGAATTATGGATCAAAAATCCTTCTAATCTTTTAGATAAAAATTAATTTTATTCCAATTGCTTGTCGGTAGGTTCTTTTTCTCTAAATTGAGGTTTTGGTTTAATTTCGTCGTTGGTAAAGTTCTTTTTGCAACTTTTCTTGAAATGGAGTTCACACAATTTGCTCGCCAGTAGAGTCCCTTTTTTGTTTCATTTTGCTCGTCAGCAGAGTCACTATTTTAACAATCAGTATCAAAATTGGGTTTGTTCGTCAGTAGAGTTTTTTTATATTTTCAAGATCAAATTTCAAGTTATTTCGTCAGTAGTTATTTAATCTTCTAGATCAAAATTTAATTTGCTTGTTAGTAGAGTCTCTTTTTTGTTTTAATTCGCTCGTCAATGAGTCTCTTTTTCATTCTAGTAAAGTCAATTTTCTAATCTTTTAGATGAAAATTTAATTTGCTCGTCAGTAGTGTCCCTTTTATTATCTTCTGGATTAAAATTTAGTTTGTTCGTCAGTAGAGTCCCTTTTATGTTACTTTAATTTGCTCGTCAGTAGAGTCTCTTTCTTTTGTTACATAAATATTTAGCATAAAATAATACACGTTGAGACAATATTTGTTTAAACATACTTGAAAACCAAACAAACAAGAATTTTAAATAAGTAATTTTATTTTAATATATATTTAATAAACTAATTAATTTGCCTCCAAATATTTAAATTCAATTCATATAAATGCACTAATTTAAATTCAAATCTTAACACACAAACTTCACACTCAAAGCATTTTATCCACTCTTCCGTACACAGTAATTTCATTCAACCCAAATTATTTTACTCTTTTTTTTCCCCAGATAAGCGACATAAGCGAAATCAGCCTGTCGCCTTCGTCCCCAAAGGACGACTCATCGTCCCTGAAAGGATTCGAGAAATTAGAGGCGGAGGTTAACGCCGCCACTGAGGCCGAATTGAAGGCGGCTCTTGCAGCCGAAGCCGAAGAGGATTTGCAAGAAATACAGGATGGCGTTGTCGAAGATTCGGGCCTAGTGGCAGTCGCTCTTTACGATTATCAAGCCGCTGCCGAGGATGAGATATCCTTCGATCCTGATGACGTTATTACGCATATCGATATGGTGAGAGGAATTTAGATAGATGAATTTTAAGGGACAATACTGCCGTAAAATATGGTACTAAATACTGATAAAATGCCATGTGGTTGCATTCGATTCCTATTGATAGGGAGATATGCTGATTAGTTTTTGGCAAAGGCAGATCCAGCCATTTCGAAGATACAGAGCTAAATGTACAAAAACTAAGCGTCCGACTTGAATAATCTAAAAATCTTTCTGCTTGTATAGACAAAACAATTGCTTTTGAGAATAGAAAATTATTTCATCTTACTTTCCATAAAATATTTTTGTAATTTTGGATTAAAAATTCAAAAAATTACCCAGACTAAGCATAGTCTAAGCGCCACTCTGGTAAAAATGTTTAACCAAGTGCGTTAGACTGTTTATGTACAGGAGCACTTTTCAAATTTTGTGAAAACTATTGAAAAATGTGAAAATGCCGCCAAGCCAAGCACAGTATAAGTGAAAATTGCAGCACAGAATTATTTGCAAATGCAAATTAGACTGTGACTATACGGGAGCACTTTTTCAATTTTGTGTAAATTAGGCAACTTTTTTTTGAAATTGAATTCGAAATGAAATGACGATTGTTAATGTTCTGGAGATAAATTGATTTATGATTTACATTTATGCTTTGCTCGAATATAACAAGATAGCAAAAATAAAAATAATGAAACAATTACAGTATTTGTTGTAATAATATATCTAAAAACGTTTAAAATTTCTCGAATATTTCATTACGGTACGGGAAGTTCTAGCAATTTGCCTTAAGGCACGATGCCATACACCACTAGTTACTTTTAATTTGTCCTTTTCTGTGTTTTTTTTCAGTTTACTAATCAGTTTTTTTTTTGTTTTTGCGACTTGAATCTTAGTATAGTACATCTAAGCACTAAATGATAATTTCACACAAATATATATTAGCAATTGCATTTAGATCGTAGCTATATGATTATGAAGCATTTTATCAATTTTGGGAAAATTATTGAAAAAATAGAAAAAAAGCCATTTAGACACAGTCTTAGTTATTATCTAGTTATTATCTAAAGTTTCTTAGAATTTTACTTTGTTCAATTATCAGGTAGATTATTATGTATAGAAATATAAATGAAAAACAAAATTTTTACACAAAATTGAAAAAGTGCTCCCGCATAGTCACAGTCTAATTGACATTTGCAAATAATTCTGTGCGACATTTTCACTTATACTGCGCTTAGCTTGGCGACATTTTCACATTTTTCTATAATAGTTTTCACAAAATTGGAAAAGTGCTCCAGTACATAAACAGTCTAAACGCACTTGGGTAAACATTTGTACCAGAGTGGCGCTTAGACTGACCTGGGTATTTTCTTGAATGTACCCAGAATTAGCGTTTGACAAGCAAATTAAATTTACAATGAAGAAAGTGACTCTGCTGCCGAGCAAATTAAAAAAAAAATACTTTGCTGACGAATAAACCTAATTTTGATAAAGAAGATCAAAAAAGGGACTCTACTGACGAGCAAACTTAATTTTGATCTAGAAGATTAGAAAAGGACGACTCTACTGACGAGCAAATTAAATTTCCATCCACAAATGGAAGAAGTGACTCTAAACAAAATTTTCGATCCAAAAGTCCAAAAAAGGGACTCTACTGACGAGCAAACTGAATTTGATCTAGAAGATTAAAAGAGAGACTCTAGTGACGAGT